TGCTGCGTCTCGCCGGGAGCCCCTCTCTCCACCGGAGCTGCGCGAGTGGTTCGCTCGCCGCTGGAGGCGTGCTGCTGAGTCTGGAGGTGCTGCTGGAGCTGGAGCTGGAGCTTCTTCGACCGTCGAGGGTGCGGGTGCTGCCGGTCCCGGAGCTGCTGGACCTACTGGTCCTCCTGGAGCTGGAGCTGCTGAGGGCGTTGGTGCTGAGCCTGCTGCTGTTGGACCTGCCGCTGGAGGTGTGGGTGGCGCTGGTGCTGTCGCTGAGGGTGCTGGTGCTGTCCCTGCTGAGTCTGGAGCTGCCGCGCGGCCTCGGCCGTACTTCGTTCCGCTCCTGCAGCAGGTTCTTGGTCTTTCTCCTCCAGTAGAGGGTCCACCGCCTGTCCAGTCGCAGTCCCTACTGGAGTCTTCCTCTCCGCTGCCTGCTCCCTCTCCTTACACTGGTCGTACTGGAGGTCTTGCTGAGCGTCGTGAGCCTGCGTCTCGTCCTGCGTCGCCTGTTCGTGCTGCTCGGGCTAGTGGTCGCAGTTCGCGTCAGCGTCCTCCTCCTGTCCCTGGCACGCACCGGATGTCTCTGCGTCCGTCCACTGCTCCTCTGCGTGCCCCTTTGCCTTCTCCTCCTGAGTCCTCTCTTCCTGCGCTTGCCGACCCTGAGTCGGACTCTCTTCGCGCTGCCAGTCCTACTGTCACGCGTCTGCTTGCTACTGTCGTCACTGACCCCTCGTTTGAGTCCACTGCTGCGTCTGCTCTGGTCGCTGAGCTCGTTGACTTTGCTGCTCGCTGTCGTCTCGACTACGCTGCTAGTCTTGTTGCTGAGTCTGTGTCTGGCTGTCCTCCGTCCGTCGGGGGTGAGTGTGCTCTTGGCACGGACGTCCTAGAGGACAGGCAGGAGGAGTTACAGTGTCTAGCGGCTGCTTCACCTCATCTCGCGTCTGTACTGCTTGCCCCTGAGGGAGACCCGGATGCACTAGACATCCCGACTCCGCGTTCTTACGCGGAGGCCGTAGAGGGTCCCTACTCCTCTCAGTGGCAGGCAGCTATGGATGCAGAGATGGCTTCCTGGAAGTCCACAGGCACCTACGTTGACGCAGTTCCCCCTCTTGGGGCGAACATCGTCAATGGCATGTGGATCTTCAGGGTGAAGCGACCGCCGGGCTCTCCACCTGTCTTCAAGGCACGGTACGTTGCTCGTGGCTTCAGTCAGCGGCAGGGAGTTGACTACTTTCAGACCTTCTCTCCCACCCCGAAGATGACCACTCTTCGGGTGCTGCTGCACATAGCCGCTCAGCGCGACTACGAGCTTCACTCTCTCGACTTCAGCACTGCGTTCCTGCAGGGTAGCCTGCACGAGGAGATCTGGCTGCGCCGTCCGCCTGGCTTCACTGGGACTTTCCCTCCTGGCACCCAGTGGAGCCTCCGACGGCCAGTCTACGGTCTCCGCCAGGCACCGCGTGAGTGGCACGACACACTGAGGACTACGCTTGCGGCTCTTGGGTTTGCTCCTTCTACTGCTGACCCGTCGCTGTTTCTTCGCACCGACGCTTCCCTGCCGCCGTTCTACATCCTCGTGTACGTCGACGACTTGGTCTTTGCCACAGCGGACACTGCTGGACTCGCCTACGTGAAGTCCGAGCTGCTGAAGAGACACACGTGCACAGACCTGGGTGAACTGCGCAGCTACCTTGGCTTGCAGATCACTCGGGACAGAGCACGCCGCACCATCACCTTGACTCAGTCACACATGGTGCAGCAGGTCCTTCAGCGCTTCGGCTTCACGTACTCCTCGCCTCAGGCCACTCCTCTGCCTACTCGCCACTCACTCTCAGCTCTGCCTTCGGATGAGTCCGTAGAGTCGAGTGGTCCGTATGCAGAGCTTGTTGGCTGCCTCATGTACCTGATGACCTGCACACGACCCGACCTCGCATACCCTCTGAGCATCCTTGCACGCTATGTTGCTCCTGGGAGACACCGACCAGAGCACATGGCTGCAGCGAAGAGGGTATTGCGCTACCTATGCAGTACGTCAGGCATGGGGCTAGTGCTTGGAGGGCGCAGTCCAGTGGTCCTTACAGGCCACGCGGACGCTTCTTGGGCTGACGACCAGGCTACGCAGCGGTCGTCACAGGGTTACACCTTCAGCCTTGGTTCCGGCTCTGTCTCGTGGCGGTCTACTCGCTCGTCTTTGGTTCTCGGCTCCAGTTGTGAGGCTGAGATCTACGCCGGGGCCATGGCTGCACAGGAGCTTCGCTGGCTCACCTACCTGCTGACTGACCTTGGAGAGCCGCCTCGTTCTCCTCCAGTGCTGTACGTAGACAACAAGGCCATGCTGGCCTTGTGTCGAGAGCAGCGCTTGGAGCACAGAACGAAGCACATTGCTCTCCGCTACTTCCTTGCTCGTGAGCTGCAGCAGCGTGGTCAGTTGCGACTTGCGTACGTGGCCTCTGAGGCCAACACTGCTGATGTGTTCACCAAGGCACTGGCGCCTTGTGACCATCAGCGCTTTTGTACCCAGCTGGGTCTTGTGCCTGTCTTGCCTCACTTGCTCTCTTCTTGACTTTACTTGTACTGTGACATATATATACCTGCTCTTGCTTGTCTTGCTTTATATATATGTCTGTACTCTTGCATGTGAACTGGCCTTTGGCCTTGCTCTTGTGCTCGGACTGTGTGGTGACTTTGTGATCCACCCCGAGCTTGCTTTGATTTGCTTGACTGGTCTTGTGACCTCTTGTTCTCCCCCACTTTGCCTATGGGGGTGTGTCAGAACATATAGCTTACCTGTTTGTGTAGGCTACAGTGGGGTATCCCATAAGGGGTACAACACAATTAGGTTTCCTATTTGTACTCATTCTTGACTTAGTCAATTCATTTTCCTCTTCTCACTGTTTCACATCTGTCAAGTGGCAGTCGCAGTTTTCGTGCTGTAGCAGTATTGATAAGGCTGTGGCTGGTCCCTCCGTCTACAAAGATTTTAACTAACTCCGTCCCGATTTTCCCACTAAGCAGTATGGGGCTGTCAACCGTAGTACCCTCCTTATTCGGCCGGTTGTGGTCGATTGCGTGAACCGATACAATCACTCGGTGAGGGTCGGTTGGGTCGGGCGAGCGGCGTGACGTGTCAGTAGAGGGCCTGTCTGCTACTGACTCCCAGCGTTTCCCTGCTGCTTGGTCTTTTTCTGCTGCCCAGCTTCCCCCTTTCCCTTAGCATTTTCCAAACATTCGCTCTTACGGTGTCTCGGCCGATTGCACGCAAAGCAGTGCCCTTTGAATGGTGCGGCAGCGGCATTTGCGGCGACGGCACGTATCGTAGCGCCCTCGTTCATCCCACGAGGCCGATGTCCCCAATTGCTGCTTCCGTAGGACCCCGGTCTCGGTCGGCGGAAGAAATCGAGCTTCTCCGCCATAACGAGAATTTCTTGAAAGTCGGTGACGCCGCGAAGCTGGATTTCCTGAGCGACGTCCTGCTTCAGGCCGCCGATGTAGCGGTCGATGCGCTCGCTCTCGTGCATGTATCCCACCTGCTCGCATAGCGCCAGAAATCCGCTTGTGTAGTCTTGGACGGAACCGAGTTGGCGCCAAGTGCGGAGCTTCTGTCGCGCCACGATCGAAGCGAGCGCGCAGACTTGCGCACCACGCGTCCCACGTGCGATACTGGGGCACCTCCACGAAATACGACGGCGCCCAGGGTCCGATTTGTCCTTCCCGTGTCGGTAGAGTCGCATAGTCCACCGGCTACGTCACGATGATACGCCACCATTCCATGGCGGATCCCCGCAGCAACGACACGGCGTAACGAATCTTCGCCGTGTCCTACGAGACGTAGTTCTCGTCGAAGAAAACATTCAACGTGAAGAGCCACGCCTGAACAGTAGGACCACCCCGTTGACTCGGGTCAAAACATGGCGGACGCTGCGGCTTCAGCGGCATCGGCGACGGTAGGGTCGATTCGCCGGCCGGCACGGAAATCGTGACTCGAGGCTGATTCCTGGCCGCATTCGTCGCGTCGGGGTGTGTCGTGCCGTGGTCGTCGTCTCCGTCGTGGCGGACGATGCCATCACTGGCCGCGCTCGCGGGTTGCCCCACACTTCCGTGTTGCGATGTCTGTGGTGCGGGCTGTATCGGAGTGCCAGGTGCTTGGGATTGCGTTCGTGCAAGGTCATTTTGCAGGGAGGTGCGTTCTGCCGTCAATGCCGCGATTTCTTCGGAGCTTTCGTGCAGTTGTCGCAGCAGCTCGTCCAGGCGGTCCTGCGTGAGGGTGGTGATGTCGATGCGTTCCGCCATTCCGAAGGGCGTCAACTCGTCTTAGTCTAGGCGCAGTCGTGGCTGCACGCGTTTACGAGAGAACGCGAGGACAGCGGCTCCTAGGGGCTAAGGTGCGTGAGTCATTTCGAGTGAAAAATCAAAAGTTGATTTTCTGGGGTGCGGAGATGCGCGGCCCGAAAGAAAGGGGCTCTGAATACCAAGTCTTACGGTTGCAATGAATCGAGGTAGCGAGAATTGCACTCAGGTGTCAAACGAGTACAAAATGTGAGCGAAGGCATGAGCGAACATTTATACGCGAAATATGCAAACGGTAACGCGGTGCGTGCGAGCTAGCTAGTGCTACGGTGGAAGCGAGGCTCGGGCTAGTCCCGAAGCGTAGGCCGACACGGCCTGTCCAGCAGTGCGAGGTTTGGCAAAACAGTGCGCGCGAAGTCGGCGAAGTCCCGTTAGCAGTAACTGCTTCTGTAACTGCTTCTGTACGCGGTGTTGCAGGGTGCGCTAAGGAATATCGAGAAAATTCCTTACACCCCCCCACCCCGTACCCCGAAACAGTAGAATATGCTAACCTTTCTTAGGAAGGAGCCTCTAGCAGCATCTCGAGTCTGCCGTCGCACTTAAAGCCGCCGCTTAGGAAAAGCTATCCTTCCCGCACACCGGTCTCCACCCCTTGTCCACAGTGCTCACTCGCCATTTCCTCCTCACACAGCACGTCCAAAACTCCGTCCACCTGGAGTCCAGCCATGTCGTCCCTCTCCGGTCTGACCACTTCAGCCGGGCAGGCGCGGCTCGTGTTCGTCGGACACCGAGGCGTCGGGCAGAACCGACCTCCCCCATTCGCTACCCCGGCGCCGGAAACAGCGTCCGCGGGAACAGGAGGTTGTAGAGCCTCGCCGGACATTCGAGAGAACACGGTTCTGTCGATGAACCGCGCAGCAAAACTGGGGGTAGATTTTGTGGAGTTCGACGTTCAGGTGGGTCCCGCTTCGCTGTGTTGAGATGCAGAGCGGTGGACGGTGGCTGAACCTGGTACAGAGCGGTGCATTTTAAGTATGTTTGATTGTACGTATGTGTCTTTTATTCTCTCTGATGCAGTTTCGTTTCGTTTAGTCATTCCCCTTCGTGTTTGTGTCTGGTTTATGGCTTCATGTTTGTGTCTGGTTTATGGCTTCATTCATCGCCTTCTGATGTTTCTTTGCAAAGTCCGTTATGCGGCTCTGAATATTCGTCTCCGTCATTCTTTCTGCTTGCGTGCTGGATTTCCGTTTCGTGTGATTGTAGTGCAGGTGACTAAGGACGGCGTCCCTGTCATCTTTCACGATAATCACATCCTCACTGCTGACGGGGTAAGAGATATGCATTGCAGACAACGTCACACTTGATAACATCACACGTGATAAGATCTTTGATCTCAGTTCTGAGGCATCTTATGAAACAGTAACTTTGCTTTCACACGTCCACACGCTCGGCTGTCCTCCTCTCTCCCCTGCCCTCACCAACCCTCACAAGCTCTCCCCCACCCTTCCCCCTCCGTTCCCCCACCCTTTCCCCTACTTGCACCAACCAGCCCTCTGCTCCTTGCAGCTGGGCTGCAAGATTTCTGATCTCACACGTCTGCACGCCCCTCCTCCTCTCCTCGCACCCCTTTCTCACTCCTACCACTCCACCCATTCCCCTCCGCTCATTCCCACTCCTCCCCCGCCACTCCCTCCCAATCCCCCCACTCCCTCTCCCCCTCCCCCCACCCGCGGTTCCCTGTAGCAGCTGGGCTGCAAGAGCTTTAACCTCATACTCGCCAGGCTTCAGCCAATCGGGCCGTCCAAGAAGTGAGCCTTTGAGGCGTCTCAAAAGCTTTTCAGTTCTTTTCAGCAGCTGGGCTGCAGCAAGAGCTTCAATTCAATCTCACACTCGCCAAGCTTCTGCCAATCAAGCCATGAAAGGAGTCAGGTTTTGAGGCGTCTCAAAAACTCACCTCTTGCAGCAGCTGGGCTGCAAGAGCTTCAACCGCGCATCACACGCGCCAAGCAACTATTGAGTCGACTCAAAAGTCAGCAGCTGGGCTGCACTGCAAGAGCGTCAACCGCACATCACATCACACTCGCCTCGCCAAGCAGCCGCCTTCAGCCAATCGGGCCGTCCAAGGCGACGTTTGGGTCGGCTCAATCAAATGTCAATCGGCCGCTGCTCATCTTTCCTCTCCCCAACCTGCGTGTGATAAGTCGATTTTTGAGTCGACTCAAAAAACAAATGTCAATCGGTCGTTGTCCGTTTTTCCTCTCCCCATCCCTTCCCACCCTCCTCCTCCACTCCCCGCCACCCGCCCCTTCCCTCTGCAGCTGGATTGCAAGGTCTCTGACCCCACAATCGCTGAGTCCCACCCTCATCTTTTCCCATCTTTTCCCATCCATGCCCACTCCCCGCTCATTCCCCCTTCCCCTCCCTTCCCCCCCTCCTCCTTGTTCCCCCACCTGCCCCCTTCCCTCTGCAGCTGGATTGCAAGATCTCTGACCTCACACTCTCTGAGTTCCAGTCCCCCCATCCCCACCACCCGCCCCCACGCATCCCCACTCTCTCTCCCCCACTCCCCCCCGCCACCACGCCTACTTGCGCGTCCCCCTGCAGCTGGATTGCAAGATCTCCGACCTCACACTCTCTGAGTTCCAGGCAATCGGGCCGTCCCAGACCCCTGGAAAGGTGAGACGGGGAAAGGTGAGACGGGGAAAGGTGGGGCGGGGAAAGGTGGGGCGGGGAAAGGTGGGGCGGGGAAAGGTGGGACGGGGAAAGGTGGGACGGGGAAAGGTGGGACGGGGAAAGGTGGGACGGGGAAAGGTGGGACGGGGAAAGGTGGGACGGGGAAAGGTGGGACGGGGAAAGGTGGGACGGGGAAAGGTGGGACGGGGAAAGGTGGGACTGGGAAAGGTGAGACGGGGAAAGGTGGGACTGGGAAAGGTGAGACGGGGAAAGGTGGGACTGGGAAAGGTGAGACGGGGAAAGGTGAGACCACTTGTGGTTGGCAGATGTTTGATAGAATACCTTACTTTTTTTCCTGCTCTAGGAGGGGAAGCGATGTGTGCTTGTACGTATGGATGGTGGTGGTGAGGAGGAGGAGGAGGAGGAGGAGGAGGAGGAGGAGGAGGAGGAGGAGGAGGAGGAGGAGGAGGAGGAGGAGGAGGAGGAGGAGGAGGAGGAGGAGGAGGTGTGTGAACGTCCTACATTCTTCCCTTGTGCACACTATTCTCTCCTTCCATGTGCAGATGGGCAGGCAGCTCATCAGGAGGCGCAGGGACGGCAGCACGTACACATGGGTGGCGGAGGAGGGGGAGATCGGTGTGTGAACATGTTTCTGCATACTCCCCTTTTCAAAACCACTCAGATGGGCAGGCAGCTCATCAGGAGACGCAGGGACGGAAGCGCGTACACGTGGGTGGCGGAAGAGGAGGACGCGATGCCGACCCTGGTTGACCTGTTTGACCGCGTTGACCCCGCCATAGGGTTCAACGTGGAGGTCAAATTCGCTGCTGACGACTCCAAGGATGCCGGCGGCCCTGCTGAGATTGACAGAATCCTCTCTGCCTTGCTCCCTGTGAGTTGGTCAGTTTGCCCCACCGCGTCTAATTTGGTCTTTCCGTATCGCACCCTGTGAAATGGTGCTAGTGGGCCCCAACAGTCTTTCCGTATCGCACCCTGTGAAATGGTGCTAGTGGGCCCCAACAGTCTTTCCGTATCGCACCCTGTGAAATGGTGCTAGTGGGCCCCAACAGTCTTTCCGTATCGCACCCTGTGAAATGGTGCTAGTGGGCCCCAACAGTCTTTCCGTATCGCACCCTGTGAAATGGTGCTAGTGGGCCCCAACAGTCTTTCCGTATCGCACCCTGTGAAATGGTGCTAGTGGGCCCCAACAGTCTTTCCGTATCGCACCCTGTGAAATGGTGCTAGTGGGCCCCAACAGTCTTTCCGTATCGCACCCTGTGAAATGGTGCTAGTGGGCCCCAACAGTCTTTCCGTATTGCACCCTGTGAAATGGTGCTAGTGGGCCCCAACAGTCTTTCCGTATTGCACCCTGTGAAATGGTGCTAGTGGGCCCCAACAGTCTTTCCGTATCGCACCCTGTGAAATGGTGCTAGTGGGCCCCAATATACTGAGGTGACTTTTGAGTCGACTCAAAAGTCTTTCCGTATTGCACCCTGTGAAATGGTGCTTGAGGCACCTCAACAATCCTCTCTGCCCTGCTGCCTGTAAGTTGATTGGTCAGCCATAATCCAATGGCGCGTTGACCTGTTTGACCGCGTTGACCCCACCATAGGGTTCAACGTGGAGGTCAAATTCGCTGCTGACGACTCAAAGGATGCCGGGGGGGCTGCTGAGATTGATCGAATTCTCTCTGCCTTGCTCCCTGTGAGTTCTGCCCTACTCACTGTGAGTTGCTCTCTCTGCCCTATCCCCTGTGAGTCTCACTTAGAAAAAGGGATTTGCACTTCTCGAGATTTGGATTTCCAGTTATGTGTTGCGACGTGTTCTCTTCAGCCCAGCGTCGAGTCCTGCGTCAGCAGTAACAACCTGTTGCTGCTGTTGGTGTCGCAAAGTTTCATCAAGTGCCCAATCCCCTCGGTTTCTGCAGTACTGTCGTGCACAGAATGCCGCATACCGCGTCTTGTATGGCGTATGATGTATGTTGCATGATGCATGTTTTACATGGCATGCTTTATGCTGTATGCTCCATGGTGCATGCTCTATACTGCTGTGTGTAGCATTCTCTGCCGTGCGTGCATGCATGCCAGTGAACATGTGGTGTTCTCACACTGTGTTTCCTGAGTCAAATGATTTATGTATGCTGCATTCTAAGCCGCGCTCTAACCTGCACTTTATGCCCTCTGTATGGATGCATGCATACAGGTGGTGGATTCGCACTGTGGGTCGCGCCCGCTCTTCTTCTCCTCCTTCATGCCTGATGCAGTCGTGGAACTGAAGAAGAGGCAATCCACACACCAGGTGAGGTGAGGGAGAGGAAGCACATGGTGAGGCGAGAGAAAGGAAGCACAAGGTGCAGAGAGGTGAGAGTGGTCAAGGTGGCTCTGTAATGGTGCTACAGGCGGACGAAACGCAAGGCTACGAAACGCAAGGCTACGAGACGCAAGGCTACGAAACGCAAGGCTACGAAACGCAAGGCTACGAAACGCAAGGCTACGAAACGCAAGGCTACGAAACGCAAGGCTACGAAACGCAAGGCTACGAAACGCAAGGCTACGAGATGCAATGGTGGAGCCAAAGAAAATGCAATCCAAACACCAGGTGAGGAAGTACGAGGTGAGGCGAGGGAGAGGAAGCACGAGGTGAAGCGAAGTGAGGGAGCAACCACACGGCAAGTGAGGGAGCAACCACACGGCAAGTGAGGGAGCAACCACACGGCAAGTGAGGGAGCAACCACACGGCAAGTGAGGGAGCAACCACACGGCAAGTGAGGGAGCAACCACACGGCAAGTGAGGGAGCAACCACACGGCAAGTGAGGGAGCAACCACACGGCAAGTGAGGGAGCAACCACACGGCAAGAAGATTTCAAGATGCAGGAAGTTGGTGGTCAAGCTCATACTGGGCTTTTGAGAAGGCTCATAAGGAATTTTGAGAAGGATCATAAGGAATTTTAAGAAGGCTCATAAGGAATTTTGAGAAGGCTCAAAAGGAATTTTGAGAAGGCTCAAAAGGGGTGGTCAAGGTCAGGCTGTGGTGGAGCTACGGGAAGAGCGAACCTGAACACAAGGTGAGAGGATGGAGGGAGTGCTGAGTCTCGGGAGCAACATGAGGAGTAGAGCAAACGCATGGCGAGGCGAGGCGAGGCAGGGCCGCCGTATGTATGGAGAGATGAGTAGGAAAAAAAAAAAAAAAACACAGACTCCCAGCCTTCATTCAACTTATCCTGCCTGTCCCCACCTGTCCCCACCTGTCCCCACCTGTCCCCACCTGTCCCCACCTGTCCCCACCTGTCCTCACCTCGTATGTGCTCCATGTCTCTCCACTCCACTCCATTCCACTCACTCAAGGTCCTCTTTCTGACAGTGGGATGCGGCAGCTTCAGTGATGAGAGAATGAACTCCGTGCAAGCTGCTGTGGCTCACTGCAAGGCCCGTGAGTTGCATCCATGCACACTGCCATGCACGCTGCTGTGGCACGCTGCACCATCCACCACCCACCAACCACCACTCATCAACCAATCACCACTTGTGACGAGAGAATGAATTTCGTGCAAGCTGCTATGGCTCACTGCAAGGCCCGTGGGTACCATTCCCAACCGCTCACAACACTCTCGACCATAACGTGAGCATCAGGCACCAGCCTGTCTTGCATACCAGCCTCCCCTCTCACTGTATCGCAATGAGGGAGGGCTCTTTCCTCCGCTCTCTGCTTCCCTTCCAACACTCTTCGTTTTTTCAACATCATCCCACCGACCCTTACGTTTCGCATCATCCCACCAACGCTTGTGTTTCATGTCTTTACACCCAACAATCGCTGTCCATCATCCCACCAATCCGTGTGCGCCACATCAGATGGCCTAGCTGGCGTGGTCTCTGAAGTGAAGACCCTTCTTGCCGATTCATCCACCATTCAAGCAGTGAAAGACGCGGGCCTGCTGCTCTTCTCCTATGGCACCACCAAGTGAGTGCTCCTGGTGTCCCACGCTGTTTCGCTGTTGAGTCGATGCCTAGCTGGCGCAGCGTCTGAAGTGATGGCCTTCTTGCAAACTTAGCCACCATTCGATCGGTGAAAGTTTCGGGTCTGCTGCTCTTCTCCTATGGCACCACCAAGTGAGTGCTCCTGGTGACCCGTGCAGCGTGTAATGGACCCTCAAACCACACTGCTTGCACCATGCACTCCTCGTAGTCCCTGCTTATGCTGGATAGCTCGTCTGGTGAAGGACGCGGTTCTGCTACTCTTCCATGGCATCAAGTTGACTTTTGAGTCGACTCAAAAGTCGGCGCGGTTCTGCTGCTCTTCCATGGCATCACCAAGAGTTTTAGCGTGTTCTTTAGGGTTCTCAAAAACACCCCTCGAAAACTCCTTGAGAAATATAAGAAACACCCCACGTCTAGTGAAGGACGCAGATCTGCTGCGCCTCTATGGCATCTCCAGGTAAAAGAGTAATTCGTGCGCTTGTTTCACCCATTGCATGACTTGTGTTGTCGTTGCAGTGATAACGTGGATGCAGCCCATTTCCAGCAGTACCATGGGGTGGATGGCATCATTGTTGATGACGTGGAGGGCATGGCAAATCATGTGCTGAATGTTACACCAGAAGATCTTCGACCACCATTTGGTAAATTTGGGGTATGATATTTTGTAGGCTGGCGCAAATGCTCATGCATACTCTATTGTACGTAGACATGGGTTGCATGATTCTGGTAGTTGATTGGAACATGAACTTAGTTTATGCCCAGCACTTGATTGTCCAGTTTCTACTATTTGTATTGCCCTGGTCAACTGTATAAAATGTTGGGCTGAGTGCCCCTTAGGATCTTTGGTAGGGTTAATCTCCGGGTAGAATGATGTAGTAGCGGAAGCGTTAACAAAGAGATTCTGAACCACCTTGCGCTAGTATGTGAGGGCAAACTAAGTTGATTAAAACAAGGAGATACAAGATTATATATATGATTACAAGGAATGCGAAGAGATACGAATGATAACTGTTTTACTGTTGGCTATTGCAGTTCGATACAGTGCGACTCGGGCAACTGCTCAATATCGAGTCAGTTGTGTGTCCTTGCTGTCGCGCTGCATTTGTCAAGTCAAAGGTCGCTGACCTTTGACCTTCGCGTAACCTCCAGCTGTTGCTTCAACTTCAGAGGGTTGACAAACTGGTGCCTCGATATGCGTTGCAACACTTGTGTCTTTAGTGTTTCGACACGACAGAGGCGCTTAGGACCGATTGTTTCCAACACCCCCCTTCGCTTCTGGAGTGTTGCTGACGTGGCTCTGTCCAGTCAGCAGCATGCAATATTCGAATTTCTGCTTTCCGAGCTTCTTGGTCAGGTAGTCAGCTGCCATTTCGGACGTGGGGCAGTATGACAGCTCGAGCCTTCCCTTCTCGATCTCGTCCTTCACGAAGAAGTATCGCAGGGCGATGTGTTTCGTCCTGTTCGCAAAACCGTTCTTGTTGGCGATGCGAATTGCCGACTGGTTGTCGCAGAACAGGGTAAAGTTGGGTAACTCGGCTAACTTCGCTTCTTCCAGCAGCTCGCGAAGATAGAGTCCTTCCTTGGTGGCTGAGTAGAGTGCAATATATTCTGCTTCAGCTGACGAGAGAGCAATTAGTTCCTGCTTGCTCGATTGCCAGGAGATAGGCCCGATAGGCTTGAAGCGATAGATGTAGCCGGTGCGTGATCGTCTGTTGTCGGAGTCGCCCGCGTGATCTGCGTCGACGTAATCGGTTAGCTTAGGTGGCGTGGTCGCGTTCTTGTGATATGTTAGGCCGATCGTTGGCGTACTGACGAGATAGTGTAGAGCGCGGTCGAGTTCGGCCATGTGTTTTGCTTCAGGCCTTTTGAGATGAGTGGCGAGCTGCCTTGCTGAGTATGAGAGGTCGAGGCGGCAGGTAACGGCTGCGAAGAGAAGGCATCCTAGCTTTCTCTGGTAGTCGCGTATCCCGGCAAATTTGAGTAGAGTGGATCCTTTGTCAGAACATTATATAGCTTATACATTTGTGTAGGCTGTAGTGGGGTATCCCATAGGGGGTACAACCCAATTAGGGTTAGTACTTGTACCCACTTCATTCATAGTTTATTCATTCTCGTACAACTTCTCACATGGTATCGAGCAGGTTCCCCTGTGGGAACTGCGCTTAGGGCCCACCACTTCGATTTTTTTTTTTTACTGCCCGAAGCGCGCTCATCCCGAGTCGCGCCTCGGGCTGTTAACTCGACGAGCCGCCCTAGCGGCCTTCCCTCCCCTAACGGCCCTGCCGCCCTACTGTCGCGGCCCCGCCGCCCCTGATTTGCGGCCTCGCCACCCTGCTTTACCGGCCTCGCCGCCCTGCTTTAGCGGCCCTGCCGCCCTACTGTCGCGGCCCCGCCGCCCCTGATTCGCGGCCTCGCCGCCCTGCTTTACCGGCCCCGCCACCCTGCTTTAGCGGTCCCGCCGCCCTACACCTAGCGGCCCCGCCGCCCTACACTTCGCGGCCCCGCCGCCCTGCTTTAGCGGCCCCGCCGCCCTACAACTTGCGGCCCCGCCGCTCTACACCTCGCGGCCCGCTGCCCTGCTCTAGCGGCCCCGCCGCCCTACACTTCGCGGCCCCACCGCCCTACACCTTGCGGCCCCGCCGCCCTACACCTCGCGGCCCCGCCGCCCTGCTTCAGCGGCCCCGCCGCCCTACACCTCGCAGCCTCGCCGCCCTACACTTCTCGGCCCCGCCGCCCGACTCTACCGGCCCCGCCGCTCTTCTGCTGCGGCCCCGCCACCCTGTACCTGGGGCCCCGCCGCCCGTCTACTGCGGCCCTGCCACTCTCCTCTCCTGACCGCCACCCGAGCCGCCGACCGCAGCACCACCCTGCAGCGTGCACCCGAGCAGCCGACCGCCGCGCCGCCGAGTACCGAAGGAGCCGGGCCGCCCAGCTGCAGAGCCGCCCGGCCGCCCACCAGCCGAGCCGCCGTTCAGCCGGGCCGCCCAGCATCCGAGCCGCCCAGCAGCCGAGCGCCGAGCCGCCCAGCCGCCCAGCCGCCGAGCCGTTGTGCAGCCGAGCCGCCCAGCAGCCGAGCGCCGAGCCGCCGAGCCGCCGAGCCGCCGAGCCGCCGAGCCGCCCAGCAGCCGAGCCGCCCTGTTGGTGCAACCCTACGGTTTGCACTCGGCTTGTTGTCCGTGTGCGTGCATGTGTGTGTGTATGGAATGGTATGAGGGCATGGGATAATATATATTTCATGCTTATAATTTTGTGTGAATGTTGAGTCATGATGTCGAGTTTGTGTGTCGAGTCAATAGCGAGTTATCGCTAGACGCGTGTTACGCGGTCGTTTGTGTCTCGCGCGCGGTTTCTATTTTGTCGTGTGCGGTTTCTATTTTGTCCTGTGTCGAACGTTCGGTGTGTCGCAGGTGTGTGCAGCAGACCCATCAAGAACTCAAGGATGAGTTTGTGATGAAGAGCCCGAGCCTTGGTGTCAAGCCTCAAGTGATTTCGAAGCTCGCCAAAAGGGTACACCTCAAGATATTGAAGATAGTTACATTACTTTGTGTAGTGTAACATTTCACTTGGTGTAGGCCCTAGTGAAGGGTAGTTTCGAGACCCTTCGTGGTTGGGGACAGTCTAGCACTGTTCCGCATCACTGTACCTCGGCTCTTGGGGTTTGTAGGAGCTGGGAGTCATTCCCAACTCGTAACTCTTCCAAACTCTTTCTATCTTGTGTTCTAAGACTTTAGTGGCTGCCATAGTGCCATTCGTTCAAACCAACGCTGTGTCATCAATACTTGGTCAAATCGTGCGATCTAAATTGCCTATTGTAGGCCACAAAAAGACGCTCCAGATCCAAGTTGAATCAAGTCATTTAAAGCTGTGACCAGAACGATATGAACGTTTGAAGCCACTGTGCAGAAATCCGACTCTGCACTCTATCTTTCGTTTTAGGCAAATTGGAACCTACTGTGACTATAACACGCCCTACTACCGAGCCACCCGACCTGCCCTGTCCGGTGAGCGCAGCCCCACTGTCACTGCGTGCCCTTCCCCTACTGCTTGCACTACTAGTCTATCATCGTCATGGCTACCCCTAGTGTCCTCACTTTTGACGCTGAGGGTCGAGCCATTCACTTTGAGGTTTGGGTCGACGACCTGCAGCTGTTTTTACAGTGCGATAGGGCGGACGGTCTCTCTCTCTTTGACCTCACCTCTGGCGCCTCTCCTGCCCCTGCTACTGACGCTGACCCCACTGTTCGCTCTCAGTGGGCCACCCGCGATGCTGCTGCACATCTTGCTGTGCGTCGCCACCTGCCTACCACTGAGCGCGCGCACTTTAGTCAGTACAAGAGTGCTCAAACCTTGTACGACGCTGTAGTTGCGCGCTACTCTTCTCCTGCCACTGCTGCACTGAGCCGCCTCATGCTACTGTACCTCTTTCCTAACCTTGCTGCCTTTCCCACAGTCGCCGACCTCATTACGCACCTCCGCACTAGTGACACTCGCTACCGCGCCGCACTTCCTGCTGAGTTCTGCGCCAAGAACCCCCACCCCCATGTACATCACTCTCTATTACATAGTCACACGCCTCCCTGACTCCCTTCGCGTAGTAAGGGACCACTTTCTCTCAGTCTGTCCCACCACTCTCACTGTTGACCTCCTCGAGAAGGCCCTCCTGGCGGCGGAGAAGAGCATCGTCGCTGTAGGAGCCTCTCGGGGTGACCCTCGCACCCCCATCTCTGAGGGGTGTTCTCCTTCCCCCTTGCTGCCCTCTGTTGCCTTTGCTGCTGCTGCCGACCTGCTTGGTCTCGAGTCGGTCGGCGCGGCGTCTGCCCCTAGCGGGAGACGCCGACCTGGCAAGGGCAAGGGGGGGAAGGGCGCGGGTGGAGCTGGCGGGGGCGGTGGAGGTGGCGGTGGAGGCGGCAGAGGTAGTGGGGGTGGCGGTGGGAGTGGTGGCGGAGGTGGTGGTGGTGGTGGCGGCAGCGGAGGCGGAGGCGGTGGCGGCGGCAGCAGTGGGAGCGGAGGCGGCGGTGGTGGCGGAGGTGGAGGCGGCGGTGGCGGAGGGGGTGGAGCTGGTCGGGGTGGTGCCCCGCAGCGGAGCGGCTCTGGTGGTGGTCAGCGCCAGCAGCAGCAGCGTTCTCGGGACATCCCCCCGCCTCAGCAGCTCCGTGAGTGGTACGCGCAGCGTCACCGTGGTGGGGGTTTTTGTCCGTGCACCTACGTCCTTCGTTCCGGCGACCGCGCGGGTGAGCAGAGTGGGGGTGCCCACCCCACCCAACGCTGCTTTGGCCGCCTGACGTACGCTTGGCGTCAGCAGTTCCCCGAGGCTAGTGAGATTCCCCGCTGGGGAGAGCTGTCTAGGGCTGGCGTAGCTATCTTTGATCTTGACTTTGATGCTATCCTTGCTGCCATGTATGCTTTGACTAATAGTGATGAGGGTGACTGTTACCGGTGTTTCCCGCCCGACTCGGGCATTGGTACTGCTGCGCTAGGTGCTTGTGAGGCTGCTCCTCTAAGTACCAGTGCGTCTGCGCTCTCAGGTACTTGTGAGGCTGCGCTCTCAGGTACTGCGTCGGCTTCGGACTCCTTCACCTTCACACTTGACTCAGGGGCTTCTCGCTCCTTCTTTCGAGACCGCACCACACTCACGCCGCTTGGTCGGCCGGTTGCAGTCTCCCTGGTTGACCCCTCTGGGGTCCCTATCCTCTCTCACTTCTCCACTGTCCTCCCGTGTCCGGCTACCCCCTCGGGCACCCTGTCTGGTCTGTACCTCCCCTCGTTCTCGACGAACTTGGTGAGTGGTGCTGACCTGCAGGATACGGGGGTTCACCAGTTCACTCCTGCGAGTCAGCGGGTGACCCACTGCACGGACGCTTGGACAGGCCGACACCTGGCCACATTTACACGTCGGCCCGGGTCGAGCCTGTACACACTGACCACTGCGTCTCCTCCAGTCACTGCGTCTGGTCAGGTAGCTGCGTCGGGTTAGGTGTTTGCTGCCGCGTCCAGGTCTGGTCCTGAGTCTGCCCCCTGCTCGTGTCGCCTCCTGTCTCACGAGACTCTCCTGTGGCACCACCGTCTTGGCCACCCCTCCTTGCCTCGTCTTCGGAGCATGGCTTCCCGTGTCCTTGTCTCTAGTCTCCCCCGGTCGCTCCCTCCCCTTCCTTCGGGGAGAGGACCTTCCTGTGTCCCCTGTGTCGAGGGGCGGCTCAGGGCTGCCCCTCACTCCTCCCAGTTTCCCTCGACAGAGGCTCCTCTGCAGACGCTTTACATGGACGTGTGGGGCCCGACCCGCATCCGTGGACAGGGTCACGAGCGCTACTTCCTGCTGGTGGTTGACGACTACTCGCGTTACACCACAGTCTTCCCCTTGCGCAGCAAGGGTGATGTCACTGAGGTGTTGACCGACTGGATCCGCGCAGCTCGTCTCCAGCTCAGGAGGAGCTTCGGCTCGGACTTTCCTCTCCTGCGTCTGCACTCTGACCGAGGTGAAGAGTTCTGCTCTGGCCTTCTGAGAGCCTACTGTCGTGCGCGAGGCATCCGCCAGACCTTTACGCTTCCGGACTCTCCACAGCAAAATGGGATTGCTGAGCGCCGCATTGGCATGGTCATGGACGTCGCTCGTACGTCCATGATGCATGCGGCTGCCCCCCATTTTCTGTGGCCGTTTGCGGTTCGGTACGCGGCGCATCAGATCAATCTTCACCCCAGGGTCTCCCGGCCGAAGACCTTCCCAGCTCTGTTGTGGACGGGGAAGGTTGGCAATGTGTCTGCGTTCCATGTCTGAGGATCTCGGGCGTTTGTCCGCGACTTGTCTGCGGACAAGCTGTCCCCTCGTGCTGCTCCCTGTGTCTTCCTAGGCTTCCCCCCTGACGCCCCAGGGTGGCAGTTCTACCACCCCTCCTCTCGTCTTGTTCTGTCCTCCCAGGATGTCACGTTCGACGAGTCAGTCCCCTTCTACCGCCTCTTCCCCTACCGCACTCCTTCCCTCCCCCCGCCACCGCACTTCCTTGTGTCAGGTCCCCCCCAGGTAGACCCCCTTCCCCCTCAGGGTCCTGCCCCTTCATGTGTGTCCTAGGTAGACGCAATCAAGCCGGTCGAGGTTGCTGGTAACATTGGTACTGCTGCGGGTGCTGAGCCTGGGGGTGCTGACTCTGGGGGTGCTGCGCGCGTGGGAGCTGAGCCTGGGGGTGCTGCGACTGGGGGTGCTGAGCCTGGGGGTGCTGAGCCTGGGAGTGCTTAGTCTGGGGGAGCTGAGCCTGGGGGTGCTGCGATTGGGGGTGCTGAGCCTGGGGGTGCTACGTAAGGAGCTGCTGAGCCAGGGGGTGCTGCTGAGCCTGGAGTTGCGGAGCCTGCGGCCACTGGACCTCTTCCCCTGGCGTCCGGCGGTGCGGGGCCTGGAGGCTCTCCGGGTGCTTCGTCTCGGCGGGAGCCACTCTCTCCACAGGAGATGCGCGAGTAGTTTGCTCGCCGCCGGAGGCGTGCTGCTGGAGCTCGAGCTTCTTCGGGCCTGCCTGGCGCTGGAGCTACTAAGGGTGTTGGTGCTGAGACTGCTGCTGTCCTTCCTGGCGGTGGTCCTACTGCGGGTGCTGCTGGTGCTGCTGGAGGTTCTGCCGCTGGAGGTGCTGTTGGCGCTGGTGCTGCTGTTGAGGGTGCTGGTGCTGTCCTTGCTGTGTCTGGAGTTGCCGCGCGGCCTCGGCCGTACTTCGTTCCGCTCGTGCAGCGAGTTCTTGGTCTTTCTCCTCCTGTAGAGTGTCCACCGCCTGTCGAATCACAGTCACAGTTACCCAGCGTGCTTTGAACTTCTCAATTGTGCCGTTTGCTTTTGTTTTAACGCAGAAGACCCATTTCACGGTGAGAATGGTCTTGTTCCTTGCCACTTTGATGGGGACAACTTTCCAGGTGTTCCGTTCCTCTAGCGCTTTTAACTCTCTGTCCATAGCTTCACGCCATTTTTCCCTGTGCTCCCCCCCCAGAGCCTGCTGAACCGTCGCAGACTCCTTAGGAAGGGTGTTGCCGTGGACTGTGGTGACGAGGCCGAGTATCTGTAGTCCAGTCTGTGAGAAGCGGGGAAGAGTTACATCCTCGGGATAAGCTGCTTCATCTCCAGCTTCTGGATCAGGTATGAAATTCGGTCCTACTCGTTCTGCTTCGTTGGTGTTGACTGTCGCAGGTGTTACGTAACCGTTGTCAGCGAAGTAGTAGAAGTTTCGGCGTTGACACTTTCGCGAGGGTTGTCTTCGTCCATGGGAACGTCGACGGAGCAGAACGGGAGAGGTCCGGCTTCTTCTGACGCGTTGTCCACATTCTGCTTGTCCCAGTCAGCTTCGTCTTCTGCGGAGGCGAAGGCTCAGTCGCCACAAAAACCACCTGTGGGATCTTGGTCTTCTTGCAGGTTGGCAAGGTACGTCTGGAGCGTGAGTCGTTCGTAGAAAATGACGTCACGTGTGTCAGAACATATAGCTTATACATTTGTGTAGGCTGTAGTGGGGTACATAGTGTTTCCCACATGGGGTACAACCCAATTAGGGTTAGTACTTGTACCCAACTCTTTCATAGTTTAATCATTCTTGTTTCAATTCTCACATGGTATCGAGCAGGTTCCCTCGTGGGAACTGTTCCTAAGGCCCTACTACTGCTTCCGCTGCTACTCGATTTTCTTTCTGGCGCGCGCCCCGAGGCGCGCGACCCCGCCTCTCTCATCGCGGCCACGCCCCTTGTCGCGGCCCCGCCCCTCGTCGCGGCCCCTGCCGCCCTTGTCGCGGGCCCGCCCTACGTCGCGGCCCCGCCCTACGTCGCGGCCCCGCCCCTCGTCGCGGCCCCTGCCGCCCTTGTCGCCCCGCCCTACGTCGCGGCCCCGCCCTACGTCGCGGCCCCGCCCCTCGTCACGGCCCCGCCACCTCTCGTCGCGGCCCCGCCATCTCTCGTCGCAGCCCCGCCACTCTCGTCGCGGCCCCGCCCTTCGTTGCGGCCCCTGTCGCCCTTCGTCGCGGCCCCTGCCGCCCTTCGTCGCGGCCCCTGCCGCCCTTCGTCGCAGCCCCTGCCGCCATTCTCCACCGCGGCCCCGCCACCTCCCTTGCGGCCCCGCAGCCCTGCACCGACCCGGCCCCGCCTCTGCTGGCCCCGTCGCCTGCCCCTACGGCCCTGGCTCCACCTCTGCCGGCCCTGGCGCCGCCTCTGCTGGCCCCATCGCCGCTCCACCTGGCCCCGCAGCCGTCCCCAGGCGGCCCCGCCGTCACCACCGAGCCGCCGGCGCCGCCGAGCTAGTGCCGAGTCACCCGAGCCGCCCGAGCCGAGCCACCCGAGCCGCCCAAGCCACCCGAGCCGCCCGAGCCACCCGAGCCGCCCGAGCCGCCCGAGCCGCAGCGCCACCTCAGCCGCCCGAGCCGCCGGGTCGCCGAGCCGCCGAGCTGCAGTTGCTGCCGAGCAGCCGTACCGCCGAGCCGCCGAGCCGCTCGAGTCGCCCGAGCAGCCGAGCCGCCCGAGTCGCCCGAGCCACAGTTGCTGCAGTGCCGCCGTGCCGCCGAGTCGCCGAGTCGCCGAGTCATCGCGCCTCCTCTTCCCACCACTGGTGAGCCCCTGCCTTACTAGCGCGTTGCGTGCTGCTTGCTTGGCTGCCTGCCTTACTGCTGCTCCTGCTTCTACTAGCGGCGGCCAGATGCAACTCCAGCGACGCCCACGCGCGTCTCTCACGCCCCAGCAGCTTTGTGAGTGGTACGCTCATAGTAGAGAGTCTCTCAGTTCTGTTCGCTGCTCTTACTGATTTGCACAGGTGCTCGGACTGGTCAGCCTTGTGGGACGCCTAGTCACACACCGTCCCGCTGCTTCGCCCATCTGAGCGACGCCTGGCGTACCGAGTTTGGCGACGAGGCTGAGCTCCCCGACTGGGTGGAGTTGCTTAGGCAGAGGGTAGATATATTTGCTCTTAACTATGATGCTATTCTCACTGCCATGTATGCATTGCCTACTAGTGCTGACCGTGCCGGTCACCTGTGCGTACCGCGTGACTCGGGTATAGAGCCTGCTGCTCTAGGTGCTGGTGCGGCTGCTGCTCTGGGTGCTAGTGTGTCTCCTGCTCCAGGTACAGGTGCGGCTGCTGCTCTAGGTGCTAGTGAGTCTGCTTCCTCAGGTGCGGGTGAGTCTGCTCTCTCAGGTACCGCGTCGGCTCCCGCCTCTCACACCTTCACCCTTGACTCGGGGGCTTCCCGCTCCTTCTTTCAAGACTGCACCACACTCACGCTGCTTGGTCGGCCAGTTGCAGTCTCTCTGGCAGACCCCTCTGAGGGCCCTGTCCTTGCTCACTTCTCCACTGTCCTCCCGTGTCCGGCGGCCCCCTCTGGCACCCTGTCTGGTCTTTACCTCCCCTCGTTCTCTACGAACTTGGTGAATGGTGCTGACCTGCAGGATGCGAGGGTTCCCCAGTTCACTCCTGCGACTCAGCGGGTGACCCACTGCACAGATGCTCGGACAGGTCGACACCTGGCCACGTTTACTCATCGGCCCGGGTCGAGCCTGTACACACAGACCTTTGCGTCTCCTCCAGTTGCTGAACCTGGTAGGGTAGCTGCGTTGGGTCAGGTATTTGCTGCAGCATCCAGGTCTGGTCCTGAGTCTGCCCCCTGTTCCTGTCGTCTCCTGTCTCACGAGACTCTCCTCTGGCACCACCGCCTTGGTCACCCCTCTCTGCTTCGGCTCAGAGGCATGGCCTCTTGTCTTATTGTTTCTGGTCTCCCCCGGTCCCTCCCTCCCCTTCCTCAGGGCCCTGGCCCTACCTGTGTCCCCTGTGTCGAGGGGCGCCAGCGTGCTACCCCTCACTCCTCCCAGTTTCCTCCCACAGAGGCCCCGTTGCAGACGCTCCACATGGACGTGTGGGGCCCAGCCCGCGTCCGTGGACAGGGTCACGAGCGCTACTTCCTGCTAGTTGTTGACGACTACTCGCGTTACACCGCAGTCTTCCCCTTGCGCAGCAAGGGTGATGTCACGGAGGTGCTGATCGACTGGATCCGCGCAGCTTGTCTCCAGCTCAGGTAGAGCTTTGGCTCGGACTTTCCTGTTCAGCATCTGCACTCGGACAGAGGCGGAGAGTTTTCCTCTGGCCTTCTGAGAGCCTACTGTCGCGTACGGGGCATCCGTCAGACCTTCACGCTTCCGGACTCTCCGCAGCAAAATGGGATTGCTGAGCGCCGCATTGGCATGGTCATGGACGTCGCTCGTACGTCTGTGATGCATGCGGCTGCCCCCCATTTTCTGTGGCCGTTTGCGGTCAGGTACGCGGCGCATCAGATCAACCTTCACCCCAGGGTCTCCAGGCCGGAGACCTCCCCAGCCTTACTGTGGACGGGGAAGGTTGGCGATGCGTCGGCGTTCCGGGTCTGGGGATCTCGGGCGTTTGTCCGCAACTTGTCTGCGGACAAGCTGTCCCCTCGTGCTGCTCCTTGCGTCTTCCTGGGGTTCCCCCCTGACGCGCCTGGGTGGCAGTTCTACCACCCCACCTCTCGCCGTGTTCTGTCCTCCCAGGACGTCACGTTTGACGAGTCTGTCCCCTACTACCGCCTCTTCCCCTACCGCACTCCGTCCCTCCCCCCGCCCCCGCTCTTCCTTGTACCAGGTCCCCCCCAGGTAGACCCCCTCCCCCCTCAGGGTCCTGCACCTTCAGGTGTGTCCCAGGTAGACGCAGTCGAGCCTGTCGAGGTCACTGGTGACTCTGGTGCTGCTGAGGGTGCTGAGCCTGGGGGTGCTAAGCCTGGGGGTGCTGAGCCTGGGGTTGCTACGCCTGGGGGTGCTTAGCCTGGGGGTGCCGGGCCTGGGGGTGCTGAGTCTGGAGGTGCTCCGCCTGGAGGTTCTCCGGGTGCTTCGTCTCGCTGGGAGCCACTCTCTCCACAGGAGCTGCGCGAGTGGTTTGCACGGCGCTGGAGCCGTGCTGCTGGTGCTGGAGGTTCTTCGGCTACTGGGGGTGCTGAGCCTAGGGGTGCTGAGCCTGGGGGTGCTGAGCTTGGGGGTGCTACGTCTTGGGGTGTTGAGCCTGGGGGTGCTGAGCTTGGGGGTGCTGAGCCTGGGGGTGCTAAGTCTGGAGGTGTTGCGCCTGGAGGTTCCCCAGGTGCTTCGTCTCGCCGGGAGCCACTCTCTCCACAGGAGCTGCGCGAGTGGTTTGCCCAGCGCTGGAGCCGTGCTGCTGGTGCTGGAGGTTCGTCGGCTACTGAGGGTGCTGCTGTCGCGGGTCCCGAAGGTGCTCGTCCTGGGAGCTGCTAGGCCTGCATGTTCGACAGGAGCTGGTGCTGCTGAGGGTGTTGGCGCTCAGACTACCACTGGCGGTCTGTCTGGGGGTGCTCCTGTTGCTGCTAGAGGTTCTAAAGCTCTTGGAGGTGCTGCTGGAGCGGGTTCTCCTGTTGGAGGTACTGGTGCTCTCCCTGCTGTTTCTGGCGTTGCCACGCGGCCTCGACCGTACTTCGTTCCACTCCTGCAGCAGGTTCTTGGTCTTCCACCTTTTACTGGTCCTCCTCCTCCCTTAGAGTGTCCACAGCCTGTCCCGTCACAGTTACAGTTGCAGCCTACCTCCCCTTTGCCTGCTCCTTCTCTCTACACTGGTCCTACTGGGGGTCTTGTTGAGCGTCGTGAGCCTGCGTCTCGCCCTACGTCGCCCATCCGTGCTGCTCGCGCTAGTGGTCGTGGTTCGCGTTCGCGTCCTCCTCCTGTCCCTGGCACGCACAGGATGTCTTTGCGTCCGTCCACTGCTCCTCTCCGTGCCCCTTTGCCTTCTCCTCTTGAGTCCTCTCTTCCTGCTCTTGCCGACCAGGAGTCGGACTCTCTTCGTGCTGCGAGTCCTGCTGACACGCGTCTCCTGGCTACTGTCGTCACTGACCCTTCTTTCGAGTCCACTGCTGCGTTTGCCCTAGTTATTGAGCTCGCCGACTTTGCTGCTCACTGTCGCCTAGACTACGCTGCTAGTCTTGTCGCTGAGTCTGAGTCTGTCTGTCCTCCGTCCGTCGGGGGTGAGTGTGCCCTTGGCACGGACGTCCTTGAGGACAGGCAGGAGGAGTTCCAGTGTCTGGCAGCTGCTTCACCTCATCTCGTGTTCGTACTGCTTACCCCTAAGGGAGACCCGGATGCACTTGACATCCCGACTCCGCGCTCTTACGCGGAGGCGATAGAGGGTCCCTACTCCTCTTAGTGGCAGGCAGCTATGGATGCAGAGATGGCTTCCTGGAAGTCCACAAGCACCTACGTTGACGCTGTCCCCCCTCCTGGGGCGAAGATTGTCAGTGGCATGTGGATTTTCAGGGTGAAGCGGCCGCCGGGCTCTACGCCTGTCTTCAAGGCGCGTTACGTGGCTCGTGGCTTCAGTCAGCGGCAGGGGGTTGACTACTTTCAGACCTTCTCCCCCACCCCGAAGATGACCACTCTTTGGGTATTGCTGCACGTTGCTGCTCACCGTGACTACGAGCTGCACTCTCTTGACTTCAGCACTGCTTTCTTGTAGGGCAGCCTGCACGAGGAGATCTGGCTGCGTCGCCCACCTGGCTTCACTGGGTCTTTCCCTCCTGGTACCCAGTGGAGTCTCCGGCGTCCAGTCTACGGTCTTCGCCAGGCGCCACGTGAGTGGCACGACACACTGAGGACTACGCTTGCGGCTCTTGGGTTTGCTCCTTCTACTGCCGACCCGTCGCTTTTTCTGCGCACCGACACCTCTCTGCCGCCGTTCTACATCCTCGTGTACGTCGACGACTTGATCTTTGCCACAACTTACACTGCTGGACTCGCCTACGTGAAGTCTGAGCTGCAGAAGAGACACACGTGCATAGACCTGGGTGAACTGCGCAGCTACCTTGGCTTGCAGATCACCCGGGACAGAGCACGCCGCACCATTACCCTGACTCAGTCACACATGGTGCACCAGGTCCTTCAGCGCTTCGGCTTCACGTACTCCTTGCCTCAGGCCACTCCTCTGCCTACTCGCCACTCACTCTCAGCTCTGCCCTCGGATGAGTTCGTAAAGTCGAGTTGCCCGTATCCGGAGCTTGTTGGCTGCCTCATGTACCTGATGACCTGCACACGACCTGACCTTGCATACCCTCTTAGCATTCTTGCACGCTATGTTGCTCCTGGGAGACACCGACCAGAGCACATGGCTGCAGCGAAGAGGGTGTTGCGCTACTTGTGCAGTACGTCGGGCATGGGGCTAGTGCTTGGAGGGCGCAGTCCAGTGGTCCTCACTGGGCATGCAGACCCTTCTTGGGCTTACGACCAGGCTACGCAGCGGTCGACCCAGGGTTTCACCTTCAGCCTTGGTTCTGGCTCTGTTTCGTGGCGGGCTACTCGCTCGTCTTCTGTTCTCGGCTCCACGTTTGAGGCTGAGATCTACGCCGGGGCCATGGCTGCACAGGAGCTTTGCAGGCTCACCTACCTGCTGACCGACCTTGGAGAGCTGCCTCGTTCTCCTCCAGTCCTGTACTTAGACAACAAGGCCATGCTGGGCTTGTGTCGAGAGCAGAGAGTGGAGCACAGAACAAAGCACATTGCTCTTCGCTACTTTCTAGCTCGTGAGCTACAGCAGCGTGGTCATTTGCGCCTTGCGTACGTGGCCTCTGAGGCCAACACTGCTGATGTTTTCACCAAGGCACTTCCGCCTTGTGATCATCAGCGCTTCTGCACTCAGCTGGGTCTTGTCCCTGTCTTGCCTCACTTGCTTACCCCTTGACCTTGTTTGTACTGTTACATATATATATACCTGCTCTTGCTTGTCTAGCCTTATATATATATGTAATTCTGCATATGAACTGTCCTTATGGCCTTGAACTTGTGCTCGGAATGTGTGGTGACTTTGTGATCCACCCTGGGCTTGCTCTGCTTTGCTTTGATTGACTGGTCTTGTGACCCCTTGTTCTCCTAACTCTGCCTATGGGGGTGTGTCAGAACATATAGCTTATACATTTGTGTAGGCTGTAGTGGGGTAGCCCACATGGGATACAACCCAATTAGGGTTAGTACTTGAACCCAACTCTTTCATAGTTTAATCATTCTCGTTTCAATTCTCACAATGTGCTGCTAGTGTTTCCTTGGAGTGGACGTCGAAGATTTTCCACGCGTTGTAATTCTTTTCGATGCCGAGGTGTATTCCCCACTTTGCGCGTTGTGAAAATCGACCCGCTCGTGCTGCTGGGGGTCAATACTGTACCATGCATCCGAACACTTGTAACATTTTTGTGCCTCCATGTTTCCCTGTCCACAGCAGATGTGGTGATGCGTTGTTCGGAAGCGACGATGACGACAGCAAATTGTGCAGCATGACAGCGTGGTCCTTTGCTGCAGGCCACTGGTGGTTGGGTAGCCGCATGCCACGTAACAGTTTGCGCATGCTGTTCTGCAGAGTCCTGTTCATTCTTTCTGCTACACCTTGCTGCTGATGGGCGTAGGGAAGAGAGAGGAGCTGCTTGATCCCCCTTTCTGCCAGGTACTGCTTGAATCGCTGAGAGGTGTATTCTCCTCCTCCGTCTAACAGGAAGATTTTCAGCTTTACGCCCGACTCTCTCTCTGCTACTGGTAGCCAAGCAGCGAATGCTTCGAGGACCATGTCGCTGCTGGGTAGGTTTAGGTGCGAGACGTAACGGGTGGCGGCGTCGATGAAGGTGATTGTGTAGTTGTAGATTACTTGTCCTGGTTTCCGATTGTACAGGTTGTCGCTATACACCTTTTCGAGGGGTGCGTACGTGGGTGCGCTCGGGTTGTGACGATGAGCGAACGGCCGATGTGGTAAGTCGGCTTCGGGGCAGGTAAGGCATGTTCCTCGTGCCCGTTGGATTTCTCTGCCGTCGAGGAGTAGTAATGAGTCCTTTTCAAGGACTCCTGCTCTTATTGTGTTGTTTAACACGGTGTTGCTTGGGTGTCCCATCCTTGCGTGCCAGATGCTTTCGTCGGCGCGATGTCCAGGTGATCGTCGGTACATATCGGAGTTGGAATAGAAGCTGGTGGTGAAGTTTGCGCTACGATGAACTTCTCGTGGTGCTGGGTGGAGCTATTGTGTTGGTGTTGGTGGTGTTTCGTCAACGAGGACTGGTGTCGTTGTTGCTGCTACTGTTGTTGTTCCTGCTACTGCCGATGATGTCTCTGCTGCTGCCGATGTTGTTTCTGCTTCTGCCGAATGATGTATTGTTACTAACGCGCGTGTTTGTTCTGCTTCAAGAATGGTATGTGAATACCAAAAGCCTTCCGGACTAAAGTCTGGATCAAGGTCTGGAGGATGTGTCCAGTCGGTGAAGTTAACAATGGTGTCGCTGTCGGTTGTGCCAAGGTCAGGGACAAAATCGAGGACGAAGACGTTGTTCTTGAGGACCGCCTTGCCGATGTAGAGACCTCCTCTCCCGTGATACAATTTAAATTCTTGGGTGGTGCTGTCTGCTTCGAGATGTATGCCTTTCGCCATCAGCTGACTGACGCTCAGTAAGTTGTAGCCGAGTCCCTCCGCGATTAGTACTTTTGACATCTGTAGTATAACATTTGTTTCTCGTGACTAAAGTTGCACAATCCCTTGTCGCCGTGTGCGCAGATTCTGGTTATTCGCGACTGTGATGACGACCTCTCGTTGAAGTCGGTGCTCGCGTTGAACGAAGTGTCCCGAGGAGCACATGTGCTGTCCGCAGCAACTGTCCAAGAACCATGTGTCTTTCCCGGACGGTTCGCTTTGAGCGATGTGTTAAATTATAATGTTGTCTAGGCTTTAGTGGGGTAGCCCATATGGGGTACACATTTCTAGGGTTGCATATTTGTATCACTTTCATTCCATAGTCATTCATTCTCGTTCTAATTTCCTCACGATGGCGGCGTACGTCGGGTTCGGTTGAAGTGACTCGCGGCGAGGCGTGCTGTTGTCGAGTTGTTCTTCTGGTGAGTAATATGGTGGTGACTCAGTTATGCAGGAGTCGCTCAGCCTTGCCATGCAGCTGATGATGTTCCTTGTTTCTTTTGCAGGTTGTCCCGTCGATGTTGTTGAGACTTGTAACGAAGTTGTCGGATTTGCTTGTGTTGAGGCGACTTGACTGCTTGAAGGGCGAAGTTGGCATTGTGGCGACGTTGACAGTTGTCGATGCGGGCAGTGCGTACGAGGATGCCCTGAAGTCTTGCAGAGATGGCAGAACGGAGGTACGATTTTCGGTCGACTGTTGTTGTTGTTGTGGCGCCGTTGAGTGTGAAACGCGAATTCGGGTACTGATACCTTTCTCTTGTGTCGTTCTTCTTGTAGATCCATGTCTTGCTGCTCAGCATGGATTTCGGCGCAGAGTGCTGCTTTGGAGATTCTCCCGTATGCTCGTAGTATGGCGCGAGTGGAGCGCCAGTGAGGACCAAGACCGCCGATGACAACCGTGACGAAGGCGTCTTCTCAAATCGATCCTCCACATCGAAGAAGCTTGTCGCGCAGCTCGCGGCAGCGACTGATATACGCCATTCCTTTCTCGCCTGGTTTCATTTCGATTGTTGTCAGCTGCGCCATTTACCGACTTTGGTTTACGCTGTCTGTTTCTTGATACAGGTTCTTCAAGTGATTGTACGCGAGCTCCGCGGAGTTGCCATAACCTCGGTAAGTCCTTATGTTTTGCTGTTGAGTCGGGGTGATGTTCCTCAGTAGTATCGTGTACGCCATCATCGATTGATAGGTGTACTGCTGCTTCTCATACTGTGTGCCATTTGTTGGGTATGGCAGGGACCCGTCGAAGAAGCCAAGGATTTGCGCTCCTTCCATCATCAGCTCGAATTCGAACGACCAGGTAAAGAAATCCTTTCCGTCGAAAGGTTTTGTCGTTTGCAGTCTTAAAACGTGCGCGAACTGCGACTGAACTTGTAGTGCGTCCAGCGTTCTTTCTTGTCCCGGTGCATGTTGTGGTTGTGGCATGAAGCTGACGGAGCCGCGCTGGGGCTCATACGGAGCGAAAGTAGGTTGTTGTTGTTGATTCCCGCGTGCGTAGGATGAGCCATCGAGACTCATGGGTGTCACGTTGTTGTTGTTGTTGTTGCTGTTGTTTGATTGCGCAGGTACTCCTTGCTGATGTTGCTCGTAGAAGGACATGAAGGAGAAGAACTTCTCCATCATGCTTGGATCAAAGCCCGCGCCTTGGTTTGCGGGTGTTTCAGTAGACCCAGCGGCCGGTCTCGTTGTTGTGCTTTCCTCTGTCTGTAGGCCAGAGGCAGGAGGTGGAGTAGGAGTAGTACCAGGAGAGCCGTTGGAGGAGCTCCTCTCCTTTCTGGTCGACATGTCTCTTGGTGTAATTTAAGGGGAAATAGAATTTTAACCCTAACCAGCTCTGATTCCATGTTGGGCTGAGTGCCCCTTAGGATCTTTGGTAGGGTTAATCTCCGGGTAGAATGATGTAGTAGCGAAAGCGTTAACAAAGAGATTCTGAAGCACCTTGCGCTAGTATGTGAGGGCAAACTAAGTTGATTAAAACAAGGAGATACAAGATTATATATATATGATTACAAGGAATACGAAGAGATACAAATGATAACTGTTTTACTGTTGGCTGTTGCGGTTCGATACAGTGCGACTCGGGCAACTGCTCAATATCGAGTCAGTTGTGTGTCCTTGCTGTCGCGCTGCATTTGTCAAGTCAAAGGTCGCTGACCTTTGACCTTCGCGTAACCTCCAGCTGTTGCTTCAACTTCCGAGGGTTGACTCGCTGGTGCCTCGATATGCGTTGCTTCACTTGTGTCTTTAGTGTTTCGACACGACAGAGGCGCTTAGGACCGATTGTTCCCAACCTAAAATAGGTGGTCCTCCTAATGTGTTAGTGTCTGTTGGGGCGTGAAACTTGTCTAAAAATGATTCAGAGTCAGAAAGGTCACTAATGTGCACCATACGGCAGCTGTCTCCAGCATGGTAAAGTTTTGAATGGATCAACCATACATAAGCATCCTTTTTTGGACTCCAGACTTTTTGAAGTATATTCGCCAAGTTACATGTCCTAATCTCTCAACGAGGAGACAGCGTTCTCAGAACGAAAGCTCAGCTTGCCAATAGCGGAGAAAATCGCTAGATTTCATCAGATACAGAGAGGGGTTTGCCAAGGTTCCACCAATCGAACAGAACCTGTGTTCTTGAGATTTAGTATCCACGATTGCGATCCAACGTCAAACATGCGACAATCGGAGGTCCTTCTCCCGCATCAAATATGTGATCCAGCAGTTCACACGTGCGTGACATGTGGATCTTTTTTGCACAGCTGGACAGCACTCTCCTTCTCCTCACGCATCTCGCCCGCGCCAGCACAAGCACGGTTGCACACTGGGGGGGCAGGGTTTAGGGCTGGAAGAGGAACCAACGGCTGGATCGATACGGTGCTGGAGCAGTTGGAGGTTCACAGATACACTACGACTCACGAGATCGCCAAGATCCAGGAATCCTTTCCAGTTTCCAGTGTACACTATACAGGTGATGTACAGTGTAATTTAGAATCCTCAGGCCTGCTGTAAGGAACCCTAAATGCGCTCTTCTAGAAGGTGTGCAGCGAATCTCAAATCAGGAGGGCTTGAAGCTTTGAACAAGCAGGAAAACCACGATACCGTCTAGTAGCGTTTCGAAGATAAACTATACCACTTGTTACCCTTCTTCAGAACCATTAGTTTGAGGCTTTGGGAGGGAACGGACCTCGCCCTTGATTTTGTATTCGTCTGACCTGGGAGGGAACGGACGGACAGCAGTGCTCGACG